CAGCAGCGCAGGCTGCCCACCCTTGATGACGAAGTTGTTGTCTTGAGTGCACTTTCCAGTTTGAATTATTTTTGTTTCTTCTTCAAACACAAACTCGGGGGGCCCCACAACCTGCAGCAGCAGGGGGGCCCCCAGGGCCTCCGGCGGCAGCGGAATGATGTACAGGCCTGACGGCGAGCACGGCTGCAAGCAGCAGCAGCAGCAGCAGCAGCAGCAGCAGCAGCAGCAGCAGCAGCAGCAGCACAGATGGGTGCTGCTGCGGCTGGGGCCCGAACAGCACAAGGAGCAGCAGCAGCCGCTGCTGCTTCTTCGGCAACGGAGGATGCAGCAGCAGTTGCAGTGGTGGAAACGCAAAGGCGGCAGATGCAGCAGCAGCAGCAGCAGCAACAGAAGCAGCAACAGCGGCAGCAGCAGCAGCAGCAGGCTACCTGCGAATCTAAAAGAGCTCCATTCTTTGTCAAAAGTCTGACAGAAACAGCCGAGAGATCTAAAGCTTCTTCTCCATCTTTCCTTTTGCTGCTGCTGAGCAGCACGCGGCCTTCGCAGACGTGGACTTCATCTTCCTGCTGCTGCTGCTGTGCTGCTGCTGCTGCTGCGGCAAGAGGCTGCAGCAGCAGAAGGAGAGCAATGCCTGCTGCTCCAAAGAGGCACAACCTTCCCATGGTGCCTCCTAGCTGCAAACCCTAAACCCTAAACCCTAAACCCTTGGCCCCAAACCCTAGATAGGGCCTCTCCTGCCTTGAAATGGCTGTCTAATCAGAGCGCCGCTGAGAAACCTTCCGGCTGGTCGTTTTGCTGCCGCTGTTCTCTCTGCTGCTGCTGCAGCTGCTGCTGCAGCAGCTGCTGCTGCTGCCTGCGCTATCAGCTGAAGCCCCGAAGGGCACAGGTCCGCTGCTGCCACTGCTGCTGCTGCTGCCAATTCAATTCCTGCCTGTGTGTGCCTCGCGGGGTGTACGTACAGCTGAGATCTCGTGCTGCAGCTGCCGCCTGCTGAGGCGCTGCTGCGGTTTCTCAGTCTCGTTCCGCTGCTGCTGCTGCTGCTGCTGCTGCGCCTTTCTGCCTGCAGAAAGTCTGCAAATGATGAATATGAAGCTGCAGTTTAAGTTTAAAAGAAAAAAAGAAGGGAAAGTTAGCGCCTCGCCGCCACGAGCAGCAGCTTCTCGGATGGCCCCGATGCCGTGGGGGGCTGGGGGGGCCTGCAGTGCATGACTGAGTCGGAAAGGACTTATATTTTTTTGAAATAAAGAATTAAAAACAATTAAAAGGCAACTTTAATGAGTTAATTATGTCTATTTCCGCATTTGTTGCTTCCGCCTCAGCCGCACCTCAGCCGCGTCCGGCCTCCAGATCTGTCGGGAGCTCTGTGGGCCCCGTCAGGGCACCGCAGCGGCAGTTCGAGTCATTTTCTCGATTATTTTTTGATTTTAAGAACTTCTTTGTTTCAAATTAATCATTTTAATCATTTAAATGCCATTTTTGTCCTTTTTCCCGAGGGCGGGCGACGGGGGAGCTGCCTCGAGACCATGAGCTGCTCACTTTGCCGCTGCTGCTGCCTTTCCCGCCTTCCCTAGTCTTCTGCCGTGTCTCGTGCTCAAACGCCGCTTAAAAGCATATTGTTTTGATTTAAATTAAAGACATTAATTGTATTTAACCATTTAATTGCCAATTGGGGCCTCTGGCACTCAAAAACCCCCAGAACGCGCGTCCCAAGTCCAGAAAACCCAGGCCAAATGGCCCGCCAGCTAGCCATCAAGCCACCAAAAGCCTTTTCCGGGCAAAGAGCTACACCAGGGCTGCTGCGGAGGGCCCCAGCTAGCCACAGCTAGCCGCAGCTAGCCGTAGCTAGTCACAGCTAGCCACGGCTAGCCACAGCTAAACCCGGCTAGTCGCAGCTAGCCGCAGCTAGCCACAGCTAGCCGCAGCTAGCCAGCGTCAGCTATAGCTAGCCACAGCTTGCTACAGCTAGCCACAGCTAGCCACAACTACCTATGGGGCGTACGCCGCATGCATACGTTTGGATGAGTTGGAGCTGCAGAAGCCAGGGACAAGTCTAACTCAAACCCTAAACCCTAAACCCTCGAAAGAGGCTTGTTTCGTCCGCAGTGGAAAATGGCTTGTTGAAGAAACCCAGCGGCTTCAAAACCTCTGCCTAAGAACCCTACAGTCCCTAAACCCTAAACCCTAGGGTTTAAGGGTTGAGTCCCAGTGGGCTAAACCCCTAAACCCTAGGGTTTAGCCCCTCAATTCTTTCAAACCATCAACTAACTAAACAGCCAGCCCATGTGAGGGCCCCATTGGGGGCCCCCACAGGGGCCCCCACTGGGGGGCGCCATAGGGGGCCCCCTTGGGGGGCCCCACAGGGGGCCCCATAGAAGGGTCCACAGGGATGTCAAGCGTTGGGAGGCTTTGTAAAAGGGGGCCCCCATGGGGCCCCACTGGGGGGCCCCCTTTGGGGCCCCATAAAGGGGGGCCCCATAGGGGGGCCCCCCTGAGAAGGGCCCCCAGAATGGGGTACTGGGAGATGCGTCAGGGGCCTCGAGAAGAGTGCGTCTTGTGGCGATGGCGCAAAACAAGACAGAAAATTTAGGGTTTAGGGTTTAGGGTTTAGGGTTTAGGGTTTAGTCTGCAAGCGAGGCCCCGAAGAATAAAGCCCGGGTTTCTCTGCTGTAAAGGGCCGCCAAAGGGGCCCCACAGGGAGGCCCCCAGGGGCCCCCTGGTAGGGCCCCCATGAAGTGGGGGCCCCAAAACGGCCCCTGGCTGCCGCTGCTGCTGCTGCTGCTGCTGTTGCTGCTGCTGCTGCTGCTGCTGCTGTTGCTGCTGCTGCTGCTTTATTGAAATGAGAAATAATTCAAAAGAGAAGAGAAGGCTCTGCGCCCCTGCTGGCGTGAGGGGCCGTCAGTTTGTCAATGCGAGAAAGGTGCACCTACGGCAGGCAAGACGCAGCAGCAGCTGCTGCTGTTGCTGCTGCTGCTGCTGCTGCTGCTGCTGCTGCTGCTGCTGCTGTTGCTGCTGCTGGTGTGGCTGTGGTTGCTGCCGCTGCACCTCGCGTCGGCTGCTTTGAGAGAGGGGAGTCACCCGAGCTGCGGGCGGTAGAAGCTAGGGTTTAGGGTTTAGGGTCTAGGTCTCAAGGTCGAGTGCTTAGGGTTTAGGGTTTAGGGTTTAGGGTTTAGGGTTTAGGGTTTACTTGGAAAGCTGGGGAGCTCCAGTGGCCGCAAGAGCACTTAAGTCCCACCCAACTCCAGCTGCCAAGTTTGCAGCCGCACTGAAAACCTCCCGCAGCAAATCATAAACCCTAATAAGCTCTCCAAAACCCTAATTAAACCCTAATTAAACCCTAATTAGACGCTAATTAAACCCTAATTAAACCCTAATTAAACCCTAATTAAACCACAATCAAACCCTACTCAAACTTCAAGCACGCCCTAACTAAACCCTAACTGGGCCCGAGCCCTTACAGCCTCCGCAGCAGCAGCAGCAGCAGCGGCTGCAGCAGCAGCAGCGGCTGCAGCAGCAACAGCAGCAGCAGCAGAGCACCAGCAGCAACTGCAGCAGCAGCAGCAGCAGATCACCAGCAGCAGCAGCAGCAGCAGCAGCAGCAGCAGCAGCAGCAGCACGTACTGCTGGATTGGGGCAGCAAAGCCTTCCCTGCTGCTCCTCTAAACCCCCCATCCACCCCAAAGGCTCCACAAAGGCACTGGTGCATTTGGCCCTGGGGGCCCCCCGGGGGGCCCCCGGGGGGGGCCCCTTGGGCTCGTGAGGGTACAGCTGCGACTCGTAGAACAGCTTGTGCCGGCAGCACCTGCAGCAGCAGCAGCAGCAGCAGCAGCAGCAGCAGCAGCAGCAGCAGCAGACAAGCTGAAGAGAGGTGGTGAATGTATGCCCAGGCTACTAGGAGAGTTCAGCGCAGCACTTGGCAGAGCTAGACCCGAGGTCCAAAACCCTAAACCCTAAACCCTAAACCCTAAACCCTAAACCCTAAACCCCGCGCAATGGCCCGTCAAGACGCGCACCTGCAGCAGTATACAATGGCTTGGGAGTCAGAAGTTCCTGGAGAGGTTGAGGACGAAGCAGCTAGCTGCTGAGGCTGCTGCTGCTTCTGTTGCTGCTGCAGCTGCTGCTGCTGCTGCTGCTCCTCCCCCTGCGTCTGCAGCTGCGTGTGCCGTTCTTGCTGTGCCCTGTCTTGCTGCTCCTGCGGCTGCAGCTTTTGCTGCTGCTGCTGCTGCTGCTGTGGCTGTGGCTGCTCCGACGCCTGAGCTACTTGCTGCGGGTTTTGCTGCTCCTGCAGCTCGAAATTGCCCACCGCTGGCATCTTGCTGCTGCTGCTGCTGCTGCAGCTGCTGCTGCTGCAGCAGCTGCTACCTTGCCTATGAATCCTGCTTGTAAACTTTGCTGCTACATCAGTTGCTGCTGCGTTTAACCCCGGGTGCGCATACACCCCAGGTACGCCTCCGCTGCTAATGACTCGCCACTGCAGCAGCAGCAGTGGCAGCAGCAGCAGCAGCAGCAGCAGCAGCAGCAGCTAGGCTTACAGACAGAAACGCTAAAAGTCAAAACAAATACAAAATAAGTAGGCTTTGTTTAATGGGTTAAGCCCAAGAAGTCAACTGGGGCGATCAGACGCCAGGAACCCTAAACTCTAAACCCTAAACCCTAAACCCTAGTTCTAGCTGGGGCCCCACATCCCCCCAGTCCGGCCCGCTCTCTCTGCTCCCGCGTTTGTTTCCCCCGTTTGTGCTGCGCAATTAATAATATATTTTGAAAGGGAGAAAAGCAAAACCCTCAAGAGTTTGCTGCTGCTGCCCCGGGGCCCCACAGCCAAACCCTAAACCCTAGCGGGGGCCCCCAGCATCGACGAGAGGGGCCCCGCCCCTGCGCTGTCACTTCACCCGGACAACAGCAGCTGCTTCCTGCAGCTGCTTTTGGCTCAGGAGCGCCAGCAGCACAGCAGCAGCAGCAGCAACCGCCGCAGCAGCAGCAGCAGCAGCAGCTGCAGCAGCACGATGAGCATCACTGCCCAGGTTAGTGGGCTTCTTCCCCCTCCTTTTCTGTCTCTTCAACTTCTTAAAATCCAATTTGCTGCAGGGCCCCTGCGGGGGCCCCCTGTGCCCCAGAAGGGGCCCTCAAGAGCGCGGGCTCAGACATCCCGGGGGCCCCAGGGTTTAGGGTTTAGGGTTTAGGGTTTAGGGTTTGGGGCTGGTTGTGCTGCTGCAGCTGCTGGGCTCCCACCGCCTTTCGGTGGCTCCCTCTCTCCACATATTTTATGAGGGCTCTCGGCTTCTCATTAATGCGGGGGAAAATGTGCAAAGGTGAGGGCCCGCGGGCTAGCTAGCTAGCTAGCTAGCTAGCTAGCTAGCCAAATGGCTAGCTAGATAGCTAGCTAGTGGGCTAGATGGATAGGGAGCTAGCCAGATAGCTAGCTGGCTAGCTAGCTAGCGAGCTAGCTGGATAGCTAGCAAGCTAGCTAGCTGGTTAGTGAGTTGGCTGGATAGCTAGCTAGCTAGCTAGATGGTGAGCTGGCTGAAGGGCTGGCTAGCTAGCTAAATGGCTAGCTGCCCAGGTACTGGCCAGCAGCCTGTTGCCCTGCAATGCAGCCATTGGGCCGGTTCATTGTTTAGCTAGCTAGCTAGCCAGCTATTCAGTGCATTCGCTAGCTAGCTAGACAGCTAGCTAGCTGGTCAACTCTTGAATTCGCCAAAGTCGAAGAGCTAGCTGTCAACCCGCCGCCTGGCTAGCCAGCTAGCCAGGTGGCCCCTGCTCCGACTAGCCATTTAGTTGCTTAGCTGTATATCTATTTGTCTAGCTAGCTGTATAGCGATCTAGCTAGCTAGCTGCAAATCGAGGCAGCTAGCTGCGGAAGGAGCCGGCCAGCTAGCCACAGTCGAATCCGGATGCCTAGCTAGCTAGCTAGCTAGCCAGCCAGCTAACTAGCTAGCTAGGTGGCTAGCCAGCTAGGTAGCTAGCTGTTATCGCGCCCAGCACGCAGGCTGCTTTCGGTGGCCTGGCGCCCCCTAGCGGGCTGCCCGTTCACCCGCTGCTGCTGCTGCTGCTGCTGCTGCTGCTGCTGCTGCTGCTGCTGCTGCTGCTGCGCAGGTACCACTTGGAGAAGAAGCTGCACATTCACCGGATAAGTGACATTTTCTTGACTTCGCTTTCTCCTGCTGCTGCTGCTGGGCTAATTGGCCTTCTCTTATCTCTCGAAGGCACAGGCAGCGCAGCAGTGACCCTGTGGGGCCCCCACGGGCTCAGGCCTTTGCTGCAGCTAGCCATGAGGACCTTCGCAGGCCACTGAGCTAGCTGTAGCTAGCTGCACAGCTAGCTGCACAGCCAACTGCCCAGCTAGCTGCACAGCTAACTGCACAGCTAGCTCCACAGCTAGCTTCACAGCTAGCTGCCCGGCTAGCTGCACAGCTAGCTGCCCAGCTAGCTGCACAGCTAGCTGCCCAGCTAGCTGCACCGCTAGCTGGCTAGCTGGCCTACTAGCTAGCTGCCCAGCCCAGCGAGCTGCCTATATAGCTGCAGAGCTAGCTGGATAGCTAGTTGGCTAGTTAGCTGGCTAGACGGCTGCCTAGCAAGCCGCCTAGCTAGCTAGCGAGATAGCTGCCTAGCCAGCTCGCTAGCTAGCTGACTGGCTAGCTAACTGCTAGTTAGCTATTCCGGTAGCCAGCTAGCTAGCTGCACTGTTGACGAGAAAAAGAGGCTTCTTCCCGGCCTGCGTTTGGTCTCATGAGCAAACAAAGCTTAGTTCGCAACAGCAGCAGCAGCAGCTGCTGCAGCAGCAGCGGCAGCAACTTTGTGGCGCTTTGTTGCAGCAACCATTTGGAGATTAACTACAGACTCATGGGGCCCCCCGAGGCCCCCCCGTCTCTTCTGGGCGAGCGCTACTGTACAGACGGAGTCTGCAGGGGTGTCTGCCGCCGGCGTGGCAGCGCAGGCAGCAGCAGCAGCAGCAGCAGCAGCAGCAGCAGCAGCAAGGGGCCCCGCACTTGTGCGTGCTCCTATGGCCCCTCGGTGAAGGGCACAGCCAGCGGCATCCCTGTGGAGGCCTTCTACCTGCCCCACAGCAGCAGGCAGCAGCAGCAGCAGCACGAAGATAACCCTCTCTTGAGCAGCAGCAGCAGCAGCACTAGCACCACCGGCAGCAACAGCAGCGGCAATAACAACTACGGCGACACATATGAGCCAACAACAGCAGCAGCAGCAGCAGCGGCAGCAGCTTCCAGCCCTACTGCTGCAGAAAAAAATGGCAGCATAAAAAGGCGGAAACTTGAAGAGGAGGTGAGGACCTGCTGCAGTCGCCACTGCTGCAGCAGCTGCTGCTGCTGCTGCACTTTTGCTGCTGCCGGTGCCATAGGTTCACCCTGTTGGCAACCATGTGGCTGCTGCTGCTGCTCTTAGCTGCGCTGCCGGCGCTTTGGAGGTCCGTGCTGCAGCAAGTGTTGCTGCTGCTGCAGTGGTGTCCACCTCTGCTGCTGCAGCAAATGCAGTTGCTGCTGCTGTCTTGCTGTCTGTCAGTTGCAGGGCAAGTTTAACCAGAAGTGCCAAGCAGCGGCAGCAACAACAGCAGCAGCAGCAGCAAGCCGCAGCAGCAGCAGCAGCATGGAAGCAGCAAAGGCTGCTCTTTTTGGGGACTACGGCGACGCCTCCGACTGTCTGCTGCTGCTGCTGCAGTGCCCCACAGTGAGAGGCCGCTTCTTTCCTGAGAAGGCAAAAGCTTTAGGAGTGAGGTCCCTGTCTTTTATTTATTTCTTTTACATATTTCTTTTATATATTTCTTTTAGTTGTTTCCTTTTTTTACTTTTTCTGTCTCTTTGGCTGTCACCTCTGCTGCGCCTGCGCTGAGGCCCGCGGGAAGCTAGCCAAGCGCCCCCGCGTTTGGCCAGCTAGCCAACCTGCTGCCCGCAGCTAGCTAGCTCTGCACGTTGGTTAGCTAGCTAGCTAGCTAGCTAGTTAGCTAGCTAGCTAACAGGCCTTCAGGGCGCCCACTGCTGGGCCATTCGAGCTAGCTGGCGGCTGGCCCTCGCCCTCCTCTTCCTTTTGGCTTTGCTTCTCCATGGCTAGCTCGCCCCCTGGCTCTTTGGCTAGCCAGCCAGCCAGCGAGCTAGCTGGCTAGCTAGATGGATGTCTAGCTGGCCAGCTAGCTGACTAGGTAGCTGGCTAGCAAGTTGACTAGCTGGTTCCCTTGCTGGCTGACTAGCTAGCAAGCTAGCTAGCTGTGTGCCCCGTACATGCCCAGCTAGCTGGCTAGCTGGTTAGCTGGCTAGCTAGCTAGTTGGCTAGCTAGCTGGCTAGCTAGTTGAGTGGCTGTGCGTGCTGCAGATCTCGCCTGGCCCGCTCTACGCACAACTCAAAAACGGGCAAAAAGTGCAGCTGCCCGACGGCCGCTGGATCGACCCTTCGCAAGTTTGCAGCGAACCCATCGAGGGAAAGGCTTTTGTCTTCCTCCAGTGCCAGCAGCAGCAGCAAGCAGTCCACGCGGTCAGCTGCTGCTGCTGCTGCTGCTGCTGCTGCTGCTGCTGCTGCTGCTGGGGCGGGTGCTGCTGCTGCTGGGGAGGGTGCTGCTGCTGCTGGGGCGGGTGCTGCTGCTGCTGCTGGGGCGGGTGCTGCTGCTGCTGGGGCGGGTGCTGCTGCTGCTGCTGGGGCGGGTGCTGCAGAGGCAGATGCTGCTGCTGCTGGGGCGGCTGCTGTTGCTGCTGTCGTCGCTGCTGCTGCTGCTGGGGAGGGATGTACGGGGTCAGCAAAAGGCCTGAGCTAGCTGCAGCAGCAACAGCAGCAGCAGACCGGGCCAGAGCCAGCGCAGAGACAGAGACACAGGAAAAGGAAATAGGCAAAGAATGAAGCAGCTAGAAAGTTAAATTGAGCTGCTAAAAGTCCTTTTTGTCTTCTGCTTTGCTGCTGCAGCGAAAGCTCCTTGAGACTTCTTCTGCAGACAAGATCTCGGCTGTTTTCCACTTGACTTCTCCCCAGGTAATCCTCGCTTTTCTGTTTCTTTCTGCTATGTAGCTAGCTAGCTAGCTGCCAAGGTGGCTAGCTAGCTAGCGAGCTGGGTAGTTACCTAGATTTCTAGCTAGGTAACTAGCTAGAAATGTAGGACTTAGGTAGGTAGCTAGCTAGCTGGATAGCTAGCTTGATAGGTATCTGTCTACCTAACTTGCTAGCTAGCTAGATAGGTAGTTGTCTGTCTAGCTGGATAGCTAGCTAGATAGGTAGCTAGTCAGTTCTCGGGCTGGCGAGCTGGTGCTGCTTCTGCTGCTGCTTCTGCTGCTGCTGCTGCTGTTTGCTAGCTAGCACTTCTGTTTCTCTCGTTGTTGTCTTTTTGTTCATGTTTTTTGTCTTTTCCTCAGTTTGCTTTTTGCTTCTTGATCTCCTTTTATTTCCCCTTCCATCTCCCTTTTCTGTTGCGTTGCTGCTGCTGCTGCTGTTTTTGCTGCCATGGGTCTCTGCTGCTGCTCCGCCTGTTGCGCCCCTGTGCCCCTTCCCGCTCTTCTGCGCTGCGCCCCTCTCTGCTCTAAACCCTAAACCCTAAACCCTAAACCCTAGTGCGGCTTCGGGTGCCCCTACAGATCACGCAAACTCCCGAGTACCGCAGCCTTATTAAAGCCTTGTCTTCTAAAGACACTAAACACATATTCTGCAACAAGTGAGCAAAACCCCAATAACAAATTACCAAAGAATTGGGGGCCCTGGGGCCCCCAGGGGCCCCAGGGTCCCCGTGGGGCCACGGGGCCCTAAGGCTTCTGGGGCCCCCAGGGGGCCCTCGTGGGGACCCAAAGCTTCTGGGGCCCCCAGGGGGCCCCCGCAGGGCCCCACGGCCCCTAGGGGCCCCATGGGGCCTTAGGGGGCTGAGAGCGCCGTTGTCCCTTGAAAGATTAAAGGGCATCTTGCATAGCCACAGCAGCACTGCCAGCAGCAGCAGCTGCTGCTGCTGCTGCAAGGCCAGCGGCAGCAACAGCTGCGTCAGTCCCAGCAGCAGCCGCTGCAGCAGGAGCTGCTGCAGCAGCTGCAGCAGCAGCAGCAGCATGAGGTTTTGCTTCGTGCTGCTGCGCCTTCTGTGGCTGCAGGTCCGACAGCCCCGTTTTGTCCACCCCCTTTATGCATGCAGCCAGACTCACTCATTTCCTCCGGGTTTTAATGCCCCCTCTCTTTCCAACAAGGTTCTCGGGGGCCCCCAAAGGCACAGGGGCCCCCAAAGACACAGGGGCCCCCAAAGACACAGGGGCCCCCAAAGACACAGGGGCCCCCAAAGGCACAGGGGCCCCCAAAGGCACAGGGGCCTCCGAAGGTACAGGGGCCCCCGAAGATGCAGGGGCCCCTAAAGATACAAAGGGTGGGGGCCCAGGGGGGCCCCAGGGTACAGGGGCCCCCAAGGAGGCAGGGGCCCCCCAGGAGATGACCCCGTTGGGGTGCGAGCCGGATGCTGTTATTGAGATTGAACCTTTGCGGAAGCTCTGGCTGTCTCCCCCTTCTCGAGTGGGTCTTTTGAATTATTTCCCACAAAGGTCTTTATTTATTTTCCCCCTTTTATGTCATTTTTCCTCAACTTCTCCGTTTCTGTCTTTTCCACTTCGAGGGGCCCCCACGGGCCCCTAACCAGGCGTGCGCAAACCCTTCTGGGGCCCCCGTGAGCGCTGCAGGGGCCCCCCTGGCGCCCCTTAGGGTCGCGCCGAGGGTCCCAAGGGGGCCCTCTGGGGGCCCCCTGGGGGCCCCCCGGGGGCCCTTTGGGGGCCCCAGGGGGCCCGGGGGCCCCCCGCTTTTGCTTATTTTTCTGCGTTTCGTTTGTCTTCTGTCTTAGGCCTTTGTTGACGACTCTCCCCCTCGAGCAGAACACCCTGTGGATTTCTTTGAAGTGAGGCTAAAGGACAAAAGGGCATTTGCTGCTGCTGCTGCTGCTGCTGCTGCAGAAGCGCAGCAGCAGCAGCAAACCTCCTGCTGCAGCTGCAGCAGCAGTTGCCGCTGCTGCGAGTCTGCTGCAGCTGCTGCACTGCAAGAAGTCTGCTGCTGTGCTGGTGCGCTGCTGCGGCTGCTGCCTGATGCATATCTTCGTACAACTTCATTTTATTTGTTTCTTTTTGTTCTTTTGCTGCCGAAATCTTTTAAAATTTTTCTTTTTGTTTGTCTTTTTGTCTTCTCCAGTCTCTTTTCAAACCCGAAGACCTCAAAAACCTCCAAGAGGAATTCGCCAAGCACCTGCCCCCGCAGGGGGGCCCCCGGGGGGCCCCCCAATCCGGGGGGCCCCCGGGGGCCCCCAGCTTTGGGGGCCCCGCTCTCAAGATTTTGGGTACTGGATCTGCTGCTCCTTCTCACTACCGCAACGTTTCTGCTGCAGTTCTTTTGCTGACGGAGGGCCTCAGTAAGTTTTGCTGCTCTTTCATTTTTGTTTTCTTTTTGTCTTTTTTTCCTTTTTGTCTTTTGTTTGATGCTTTATTTATTCTGTCTTTTTAAATTAAAAAGGCCTCGCTGCGGTTTGCTCCCCGTTTCCCCTAAACCCTAAACCCTAAACCCTGAGGAGCAGAGGACTAAGGCGGACGAAGAGGTGCAAAAGAAGCAAAATTGGAAACAAAGCAAAGTAAAAACAAACAGAAACAAAACAAAAAACAAGCAGGAACGCAATTGCTGCTGCTGCTGCTGCTGCTGCTGCTGCTGGTGGTCGCAGGTGTTGTTCTTGACTTTGGGGAAGGCTCTCTCTCGCAGCTGCGGGGTGCCACAGAGAGCGAAGAGGAGTTTCTGCAGCTGCTGCTCTCGATCCAGTGCGTCTGCTGCTGCTGTGCTGCTGGGTTGCTGCTGCTGTGCTGCTGCTTGCTTCTGCTGTGCTGCTGTTGTGCTGCTGCATTGCTGCTGCTGTGCTGCTGCCTTGCTGCTGTCTTGCTGCTGCTGGAGGGGCGCTCGCTGGGGTTTTGTCACTGAAGCGTCAGGTGCTGCCGTTGCTACTGGGCCAGAAGCAGCAGCTGCAGCTGCAGCAGTGCTGCAGTTCCTGCTGCAGCAGCTACAGCAGTGCTGCAGTTCCTGCTGCAGCAGCTGCAGCTGCAGCAGTGCTGCAGTTCCTGCTGCAGCAGCTGCAGCTGCAGCAGTGCTGCAGTTCCTGCTGCAGCAGCTGCTGCTGCAGCAGTGCTGCAGTTCCTGCTGCAGCAGCTGCTGCTGCTGTTTCCGTGTCTGCGTGCCTGTGGTGATTGTCCATTTGAACGAAAAGTCCCCTCACCGCTTCAGGACTTATGCTTTAGGGTTTAGGAGCCTTTAGGGTTTAGGGTTTAGCGTTTAGGGTTTGCAATTCTTCAGGTTCATCTTCGTTTCCCACTGTCACGCGGACCATCACTTGGGGCTCATGTCGCTGCTGCAGTGCCGCGCAGCACTTTGGCCCGATGCCAGGCCACCCCTGCTGATTGCTCCAGCTCGCCTACAGG